GGTCTGGGCCTCCCTTCTGAAGCTGCTGCCCCCGCGACCCGACCCTGGATAGGTGGAAGAAAATGGATGGATGGATTAGATAAATTTCAGTAAGTGTGTTTAATAATTTTTCCCTGTGCCATTCCACATTATTACAAATAACTTCATTTCTGGACATTTATGGTTTGATTTCTTTGTATGTATGGATCACTTGGGTTGTTACCGACATCTGGTGAAAATTTCATGACATTAGCACCTCTAGTAATATATTTACTGAGAAAAATGGTGACGTGTTCAATACTTATTTTACCCGCTGTATACAGTATATGGCATTAGTTCCAAACTATTGGCTCAGGCGTTACTGCCATATATTAGCTCAGCGCTAACATGAAAGCTAACAGGCTAAGCTGAGGTTCTCCTTCCAGGAAGCAGCTCTGCTGTCCTCCATCATCATTTCCAGTTACAGGCTGACTCATTTCCACATTCTTCTCTCTGACAAGGAGCTCTGGTTTAATTTAAAAGAGCCAATTGTCAGATATTGTTCAAAATTAACCTTCAGGGTAGATATAGCTCGTAGCCTCGCATGGATAACCCACTGAATATCATTATTTACCCAGAATGCTTTGCAGTGTTAATAAAATGTCTCCGTCTGTGTGACAATGTATTTTTTAAAGTTTATAAAAACTTAACAGCCTACAGTATTTTTCGGGTCTTTATTTTACAGTTAAATAAATGTTTAAGTAATGGTGGATCACTTTAACTGGACTGACAGGAGACAATAAACGGACACCAACATAGATGATGTGATTCTCTGACAGACAGAAGAGGCTCAGGAACAACAGGACAGATTTAATCCAGTGTTCAGATGAGACTAGTCCTGCTGGCAGACGTGTCTCTCCTGACCTGACTCATCTGTCCACCTGAGACACTGAACACTCGGACAGATGGACCCCCCAGCCTCCTCACTCTGCTCATCCTCCTCCTCCTCCTCTGTTCTCTTCTTCTCTTGAGGTGCACACCCACACCGTAGCCCACCACAGCCAGGGTCATGCCTGCGCCGGCAGCCAGCAGTACCATCCCAGACACCAGCATCTCTCTGCTGTCGTGACCCCGGCTCCGGTTGCTGACGGTGGCCACGCACAGCAGCACCGCTCCGCACAGCGTCACCGCCACCCCCACTGCTAAAATCAGTGCCGGGTCAGCCTTCCCGCCGCTCCTCAGCTGCTCGATGCGGCGTTGGCTGCGCACGCAGTTCATGTCCTGGATGGCGGAGCTGAGGAGCTGCTTGAGCAAAACCGCCAGGGCCAAGAGGCAGAGGGTTGTGCCCACCCCGAGGCGCCACTCCACAGACAGGCCGGTGGTGGACAGTAGGCCTACGCCACCAAGACCCAGGCCCAGGATGAGGGTCACTGAGGCACAGTAACAGAACAAGGAGTGCCGTGGCTCCCTGAACCACCAGAACTCTGCTCGGTCTTCCAGGAGACGTAGCTGTGTAAGGGTGGGGTCCAGGTACAGGCCGGGGGACCGGCGGATGTTGTAGTAGAAGGTCTGCATCTCAGGCATGGCTGGGGTGAAGGCAGGGCGATACCTTCAACCTAAAGACAAGTAACAGAATTTAAATGTCCTCTTTAGAGCTTTCATACTATCAAACACGGTTCAGGTAAAAAATAATTATGGATGCACGATGTATTGGCATTAACATTGGCATCGGTCTGTTAATTAAAACTGGACTGATATTAATGTCTGTTATTGATTTCCTTCTTGTTGCTGTTTGTGTTTCTGTTTTGGAAGGTAACACATTCTCACTCCCAACTCGTCACATATTGACGGTCAGGTACAGTCTGCATCCATTTTTGATGAGTCGGGTAACCCTCTGGTGTCAGTTATTGACGCCCGCGGCTTTTCCGGGATGCGCCACTTAGGGATCTTTGGGTTGGGGGTTTGTGGTTAATATTAGGGATCAGGATTAATAGGTACTGAGGTCAGGGTTAGGATGTTTATAGCTAATAGCAGTTAAATTTAGGGTCTACAGCGGTTAGTAGTTGTGCATTCTCTACACCAGGGGTTTTTAACCTTTTTGACCTCGGGGCCCAGTTTATTGAACATAAAGTGGCACGAGACCCAGTCAGACATTACCAATGTACGGATCAAAATGATAATTATTATAAAGATTGGTTTAATTTTTATTGTATTTATAACTAAATTAAATACACTAAAGTAAACAAATAACCACAAGACGTGATTATGACAATTTTTTATATTGTAACCTGCCCATAACAATTATTTGAACAAATACAAAGGTCAGTCAGCAGACCACTCAGGCTTATCATAAATATAC